AAAAATATATAATAACGTACGCGACATAACGTACGCGACAGATTTTTCCCCCATACAATATTTTTACTAGTAACACATACTAAATTAAATTTTTTCAGTCTTCTCTCCACCGTTTCGCGTTTTCAAAACCGCATTGATTTTGATGTATTTGATTGAAATTTTCGTACTTACAATAACGTATGCGACAAACTTTAAAGGGTAATAGAATTTTTTTTACTTCGGTTGGAAAGAAAATTTTACTGTATATCTTTAACTAGAAGAATTCTCGCTTAAGAATTGTTATCTGCATTACCTGCGACTGCCAATATACAAATGACATAGACAAACAATGTTTTTGCATAACGTACGCGACATTAGAATACTATCAGAAGCAAATCAAAAAATTACCATTATTCGAGCTCTAACTTCTCCTTTTTCTCATTTTTATAGTTAGTTGTTATTGCAAATTTGATTTTAAGATGTAATTGTAATGTTTCAAATCTCTTAATTTAGTTAATAGGAAAGAGAAAATAGTTCATTTCATTAGAGGAAACTGAGTCGAAGAGACATTCAGTTTCACTCTTCCATTTTTGAGTTTTAAAATTCCAATAAGCTGAAATACTTCTATAATATAAAAATTCGAGTATTTTTCTCTTATTAATTCGTCTTAAAAACCCTTTTCAGTTGTTTTTATTTTTTCAGTCCTGGTTGACATTTTCATGGAAACACCCATATATTAGCATATATGATCAATTTTTCCGAGAAGTGGACCAGGGACCGATCTATTCGAAAAAATCGCAGTTATGGTCCGATTGGTTTAAATTTGGTACGTAAGTAGCTTTTTAGCATATATGATCCATTTTTTCCGAGAAGTGGACCAGGGACCGATCTATTCGAAACAATCTTATTACGGTTTGATTTGCTTAAAATTCGGTACGTAGGTAGCTTTTTAGCATATATGATCCAATTTTTCCGAGAAGTGGACCAGGGACCGATTTATTCGAAACAATCTTATTATGGTCCGATTTGCTTAAAATTTGGTACGTAAGTAGCTTTTTAGCATATATGATCCATTTTTTCCGAGAAGTGGACCAGGGACCGATCTATTCGAAACAATCTTATTA